TGGGTCTCGGTCCTCCGCCTGTCCAGCTTCTCCTCCCCAGCACTGTGTGGGTCTCGGTCCTCCGCCCGTCCAGCTTCTCCTCCCCAGCACTGTGTGGGTCTCGGTCCTCCGCCCGTCCAGCTTCTCCTCCCCAGCCCTTGCTGCCCTGCCTGGCTGGCTATGAAGAGAAGAGGCTGCTGGGGGATGAGGGTGACAGTGACAGTGGAGCAGCAGGAGGTACAGAGACGCCCAGGAGGAGGGACAAGGAAGAAGCCACATCCCAGCAAGCTTGGGGACAAGAGAGCTCTGGCACCAGCTGGAGCAAGAAAGGAGGGGCTTAGTCACCTCCTTAGTCACACACCCTAAGAACCGGCTGGGTCAAGTGTTGCCGGCATTGAATACTTTGATTTACTAATAATAGGTGGAGTTTCATACCTATGGAGGCCTAGCTGGGATTAAACTAACCCTTGAATCCCGGTGACACTTTGTATTTGCTCCTATGAGGTACTTGTGGCATCACATTGGCAGATATTGAAAGAGATCCTCAGTGGAGCAAAAAGCTAAATGTACTTAACTAGGAATAAATAGAACAAATATTCTGAGAGTATCTTGGATTCCAGATGGCATTAGGGTATTAGGTGAATGCAAATGTCGGGAATGTAATCCAGATCCTTAGAGAATTTCTGAAGTGTTGGGCGAGGAGATTTGATGAACAGAAGTGATTCGGGACCAGCGTTCCAGGGTATAGAATCAAACTGTCAACTGTCTGGTCACATAAGTGAGTAGGTCGCTGTGGGCGGCCAGATGGAGTGGCCTCATGCGTTCACTGGTGCCGACTGGGACTATTTCTGCTCCAGGGCCCGGTTCACACAGGAGGATGAAGTATAGTCCCTACCCTTTTGCAGTTGTATCTGGCAGCAGAGGGCCAGATTAGCAGATGATTAGAATACAGAGAGTCCTAGTGCAGGCCTGAGAGTGTGTGGAGGAGAACGTGGGTGTGAGCCGGACCCTCCCCACCTGAGTAAAGGAGAAGTTTCCTGGGCTTAGGTTAATCTCATGACCATATGGGGCAAATTGGAGTGTTTTCCTAGCAACCTTTAAATCCCTCTCTTCTCTACTGCTTAATCCGTTTAAAATAACTACCGAGGGAAAAGATGCTTTTGAATTACAATGGTTGTACTGCCCTCAACAGATCTTAGCCAGTAACTGTATTTTCATTTTTTCCTTAGTGTCAAATCAACAGTGCCTTGACGTCTTTCCACACGGCTTTGGAACTTGCCATCGATCAGAGAGAGATTCAGCATGTGTGTCTGTATGAAATTGGTAAATACGAAGCGTCTGTCCAGCTCCTCGTTACAAAGTAGTGTGGACGTGCTCCCGTGCGGTTTCCGTCATTCATGCTGTTTAGTCTCTTTGTGGAATGGCTCACGGCTTCCATAGTAATAAGGACTTCCATTATCATCACGGCACGTGCAGTGGCACTAACCTCTCTGAGTCTCGTTACTTCTTAATAACATTTTGTTCTTCACACCCCTTTGATTTTAGGATAATGGCTAAAAATAACTATTTAAAAATACTTCATTTGGCTGCACATTAGAATTCCCAGCATTGTCCCTCCTTCTCACTAATGTTTACTTGAGAAGAAAAATATAGCATAAGAGAGATTTGGACTCCAGGCCAAGCTTTCCCTCCCCTCTCCTCCCCTTCCCTTCCCTTCCTTTCCCTTTTTTGAGACAGAGTCTCAACTCTGTCCCTCTGGTAGAATGTCATGGCATCATAGCTCATAAAAAACTTAAACTCTTATGCTCAAGCCATCCTCTTGGCTCAGCCACCTGAATAGCGGTGACTACAGATGCCGGCCACCATGCCTGACTAGCTTAGGTTGTTTTGGTTGAGGTTTTTTTTTTTTCTATTTTTAGTAGAGAAGGGGTCTCACTATTTCTCAGGCTAACCTTGAACTCCTGAGCTCAGGCGATCCACCTGCCTTGGCCTCCCAGAGTGCTAGGATTACAGGTGTCAGCTACCGTGCCTGGCCCAATCTTAGCCTTTTCATCAATTAGCTTTGAGACCTTGACCTTGAGACAAGTAGCCCAAACCTTATGAGCTACATCGTTGCCTTCCCTCAAAGCAGCTATGAGGCTTATGTGAAATAACACACATGAAGCCTCAGGTGGGATGCCTGGTACACAGAAGGCTCTCCGTGCATGTGTACACTTGGGCTGCTGCCTTCTGCCTCTCCCCTCCTGGAAATCAGTTTATTTATTTATTTATTTATTTTTGAGAGAGAGTCTCATTCTGTCACCCTGGGTGGAGTGCTGTGTCTTAAGTCACAGCAACCTCAAACGTTTGGGCTCGAGCCATCTTCTTGCCTCGGCCTCCCAAGGAGCTGGGACTACAGGCACCTGCCACAACACCTGGCTACTTTTAGTAGAGATGGGGTCTTTCCCTTGCTCAGGCTGGTCTCCAACTCCTGAGCTCAAGCAATCCACCTGCCTTGGCCTCCCAGAGTGCCAGGATCCCGAGCCTAGCCTTGGGAGATCAGTTTATAAACAAACTTGGAAGTATTTATTTGCCTAAGATTTTTACCCCTTCCTTCTCCAAAATTGTTGCTACACATCTTTGGGTGACTGCACTAAAACTCTATGATCCTGTTAAACTGGTAATTTCAAAATCCTTTACACTGAGTAAAGGAAACTTGTGGACTTAAAATTGAAACAAACAATTTTTTTTCTTAAGTAAGGGGCTCATACTTTTTAGAGTTTCAGCTTAGCTCATACTGCAAGGTCACATCATATAGCTCGTAGAAAAGAAATGACACAGGAGGAGAGAGAGGAGGAATGAGGCGGCAGTGGAAACCCAAAGGGGGAATCGGAACTCAGAGGCTATCTGCAGAAGCCCAGGGACGGGGAAGTGGAGAGAGCTGGGGAAGCCAGTGACACCTGTTAGTGTGGGGCCCTGTGGACATAATTATCTTCCTGAATCTTTTTAAGGAAAACTACGAACTAAAAGATTTGGAGCTGCCTGGTAAACACTATTACATGTTAAATGTAATTTAAAAAGTTGACAGGAAGAATGATCCAGTGGGAAATAGACTTTTATATTATCTAAACTCTGCCAGAGTCCGGTGTGGGAGTCGTAATATAGAATGAAGTGTGTTTCGAAACACTTGAGTTAAAAAGTCTAGCTTTGATGGCATTTTGGGGTGTGTTTTGAGATCTATGGTAGTATACAATGCTTAGGAAGCTGAGAAAGCATCTAACTCAGGCCTCAGTGGGGTAACTGGGGCATAAGTAGCAAGTCAGATTTCTTCCTGAGGCTCATCACTGCCTTCCGTGTCTATTTCATATTTAATTCAAATATGATACCTATTATAGAATAAAAATAAGTAGCCCGGCTCGGCGCCTGTGGCTCAACGGGCTAAGGCGCCAGCCATGTATACCTAAGGTGGCGGGTTCGAATCCCCAGCCCGGACCCGCCAAAACAACTAAAGCTACAACCAAAAAATACCCGGGCGCTGTGGCGGGCGCCTGTGGTCCCAGCTACTTGGGAGGCTGAGGCAGGAGACTCGCTTGAGCCCAGGAGTTGGAGGTTGCT